TTTAAATATTGTTTTTTAAGCAGACCTTCCCTGAACAGTCTCTCTCCCCTAAACCAGGTTAGGTCTCAAGGTGACATGCCCCCAATACCCTGTGCTTTCCTAAGTACCACTCAGGATTGTGATAGTCTGAGCCTGTGTGACTAGGTGTTTGTCTCCATCTAACCACCAGATTAGATGGCCCATAAAGGCAGAGACCCTCCATCTTGTTCACAGCTGTGGCCCTGGAGCGAAAGATGCCAAACATCTAACAGATGCTCAGTAAACAGCTGTTCAATGAATGCCTGAATAAACAGGTTGCTCCAGTACCCACGACCCTAATCGACAAAAACTGGGCTACTACTTTAGCAAAAGAAAAATCAATTATGGGAGGATTTCTTAGTAACTTTATTGCATTGATGACCAAATACATGCAGACTCCTCCTTGGAAACGGAAGTACAATCAAGGAAGCAGAAACTCCAGGTGCCTAGTGGCAGAAGTAACATTTCATGTTTCAGATTTGCATTTGTGGTCACAGCCCTACTCTCAGCTACGAATAAAGAGTTTCCAGGGCCAGCTCATGGGTGGGCAACCAGTGCAGTCACACTGGGCCCTGTGCTTGGCTTAATGGTCTATGGTCGCCATGTTTACATTCTTAATTTTTTTAACAAGGGGTCCCACAAATTATATAGCCAGTCCTGAGTTTTACAAATTAGTCTGATTTCTGGAAGGGACCAGTGGATAGCTAATCCCCAGCTAAGGAGGCATCCTCATAATCAAGGCTGTTTTCAACCTCCCTGAGCATATGTAAGTCCTAATAAGGAGGGTTACATTTCCAGAACATGTTTTCCTCGGATGTCAGTTACATCATATATCATGTAGCGCTCCCTTTGAGAAAGTCGAGATTTTTCGGACTACAGTCCGAAATACGTAACAGTCTTCATGTTATTGCTGTTAGCTAAAAAGCGGTTAATTTTTCTTAAAACTAAGTTCTACTCAAAACTACTGTAGAATTCCTTTTTCATTTCTAACATTTTAAACTTTATGAAATTTAACAAACGGACTGAATACTTGAAATTTCTTTGGAGACAGAAACTGGCAGGGCATGCTTCTCAAAATAGGAAAAAAAAATGAAATGAAACTGGCAGGACACATTCACCATTCACAAAGAACACTGGTTTAGTTATCTTTATAGATGTTTCGAAATGTCAGATGTTTAAATTTACAAATAGCTTCTCTAATCATGAATTTAATTGCTTAGTATAGCTCATAAATGTTTAGACCATCTTAAATATAGGCTCATTTTGTTCCTCAACCAAAGATGACTCTGTTCCCCAGGGAACATTTGCCTATGTCTGGAGGTCTGGAGCATTTGGATCGTTTAACAGCAGGGAGGGTGCCTGGCATTTAGTAGGTAGAGGCCAGAGAGGCTGCTAACCATCATGCAATGCACAAGACAGCCCTCTCAACAAAAATTATCCGGCCAAAAATGTCCAAAGTGCCAAAATTGAGAAAGGCTGGTTGAAACATACATGGCAACTGTCTCAGAAAGCATGACAATATTAAGCCACAAGTCCAGTGACCAAGCCAAGAAAACAGACAGTCTCCACAAGAAACACATCTGGCTGTATGAAGAGTCATTTGGGAACTCCCTTTTTAAGACAGGGAGTTAGACATTTGACATACTGACCTGAAACCATGAATATATTTCTCATTAGAATAAATAATAAAAATAATGACAAGAGTCCTCCTTGATTGGCTCCATAAAAAAAAGTATAGCTGAAATACCATACACTTCATAGAAAACAGAATTTGACAGAAGAGATCATTTCCAGTAGTAATTTCTCTTCCCTACCACTTCATGAAAAATGTACAATAGCTACATGACAGTTCAGAATTTTCTGTTCCTTAGAGAATATAATCACCATGCACATTAGCAGTTTTTAAGGTAGAGATTTGCAACCAGATGATGCATGAAACAAATTTGATTTATTCTTTGGGTTTTTTTTTTTTTTTGAGATGGAGTTTCACTCTGTAGTCTGGGCTGGAGTGCAGCGGCATGATTCCCGCTCATCCCAACCTCCGCCTCCTGCGTTCAAGCAATTCTCCTGCCTCAACCTCCTGAGTAGCTGGGATTACAGGTACCCACCACCACCACACCTGGTTAATTTTTGCATCTTTTTTTTTTTTTTTTTTTTTTTTGTAGAGATGGGGTTTTGCCATGTTGGTCAGGCTGGTCTCGAACTCGGGACCTCAAGTGATGCACCTACCTCGGCCTCCTAAATGTTGGGATTACAGGTGTAAGCCACCATGCCCAGCCTCTTTGTGTGTGTGTGTGTGTGTGTGTGTGTGTGTGTGTGTGTGTGTGTGTGTTTGAGACGGAGTCTCATTCTGTCGCCCAGGCTAGAGTGCAGTGGTGCAATCTCGGCTACAACCCCCACCTCCTGGTTCAAGCAATTCTCTGCCTCAGCCACGAAAGTAGCTGGGATTACAGGCACCTGCCATCACACCCAGCTAATTTTTGTATTTTTAGTAGAGACAGGGTTTCACTGTCTTGGCTAGACTGGTCTTGAACTCCTGACCTCGTGATTCACCTTCCTCGAACCTCCCAAAGTACTCGGATTTCAGGCATGAGCCACCACACCTGGCCCTCTTTGTGTTTTAAAAAGGAAAAAACCTGAGCCAATATTTAAAATCAGGCTTTATCTTTTTTTTTTTTTTTTTTTTTTTAAGTAAAAGATCTCAGCTACTGGGAAAAAAAAAAAAAAAAAGCAAGAAGAGCTGTCTACACTGCATGGCTGCTTGGGAATTCCTGCGTGGATACTGGGTGGGAATGGTCAATATCCACCCAGACTTAGCAGGTTTCCTCTGCAGTCACCTGGGCCCAGCCAAGCACTCTTGCGCATTACCTGTTTACTCATTGTGGATAAAGTAGATTTTGTGATCCCAGTTTTAGGGAAAAACATTTTTCTTACTGTGAAGCAATTCAATTACAAATGGAAAAGCCCTAACTCCTTAAAAAGTGAGTGGAAGCACTGCTATCATTAATCCGGAATGAACTATAATTAATGAAGGATAGAATCTAGTACAAACTTGGGGCCAAGGCTAAGGACGCTCTTTACAGGGCCAAGTTAAAGGATGTGCTGAGGAGGTGACAGTGACTCTCAAACCCTCATCATGAAATGGAAACAGCATCAACCTCTCGACCAATAAAACACTTTTCAAAAGTAAATTCACAGTTTGGTATAATGTATTTTAAAATAAAGGAGTTTGCCATTTCTAAGAAATCAGTTTCCCAAAACTACCATTTTAAAGGCCTGAAAAAATTCCTTTAAGAAAAAGAAGAGCCGGGCGCGGTGGCTCAAGCCTGTAATCCCAGCACTTTGGGAGGCCGAGGCGGGTGGATCACGAGGTCGAGAAATCGAGACCATCCTGGTCAACATGGTGAAACCCCGTCTCTACTAAAAATACAAAAAAAAATTAGCTGGGCATGGTGGCACGTGCCTGTAATCCCAGCTACTCAGGAGGCTGAGGCAGGAGAATTGCCTGAACCCAGGAGGCGGAGGTTGCGGTGAGCCGAGATCGCGCCATTGCACTCCAGCCTGGGTAACAAGAGCGAAACTCCGTCTCAAAAAAAAAAAAAAAAAAGAAAGAAAGAAAAAAAAAGAAAAAGAAGATACCTACACAGTCTGAGTTTTCCTCCCAGCCAGAACTGAAATCTGCTACTAAAGCCTCCAGCGGGGGGCCTGCCTGGAATTGCCTAAACTCCTAGCAGGTAATTTACACTGATCTTTAAAAGCTATTAACCCCTCCTCCTCACCTCTATAAAACAAACCGGCCTTTGAGAACAGCTCTGGAAAGGGGGCCCAATGCCAGACTAAGAGACAAGTTCCAGACCACGTCTCTCACCTCCCACTCATCAAATTCAGCCCACATAAAGCTGTGTCCGCATTCTCATCTCAAAGAAAGGCACCACGGCTTTCTTTGAACACCCTATATCCTCCCAACTGGCCTCTTGCCCCACTATGTGTAAAAAGACTACTCTCTTTTCTGCAGAAACAAACAAGGTAAAGGGTGTACAGGGCAACGTTTATATGCATCTACAGAATGCCAGGTGCCTACAGAATCTACTGGGCCGGGCAACCCATGCCCCAAGCCGGGATCTGCAGGCGCCCTCATCCACGCTGGGAGACCGGGAGAGGAGAGGGAGGCGTGACAGGCGAGGGTGACTGCGCTGCGCAGAAAGCGCTGCCAGGAGAAAAGGAGCGGTAAGCGAGGGCTTCTTCCATTTCAAAACCTAATAACCAAAACTTGGAGGAAATCTGCCTGAGATGCTTAAAAAAAAAAAAAAAAAAAAAGCTGAGGCGGGGGGAGGGGGGAAGAGAAAAGAAACCTAGGAGGGAGTAAAATGCGTTTAAGACGAATCACTCGTTTTCGTAACAGATCCTGCGCCCTGCGAGCGAAGTTTCCTAGACTGCCGCGGAAAGGAAAGCGGGGGAGCAGGAAGGGAGAGAGGCTTCGCAGCACCTCAACTGTTTCTTTCTATTAGTAATAGTTTGCTCCAGGGCGTGTCATTTGCTATCCTAGCGTTGGACTCTTATCAGTAACGTAGGGGTGATAATGCATCTTAGCCGCACTGGGGTTAGGATTCAACGAGGCGAAGCCCCTGGCACCCAAGGGATGGCAGCGAGTCTGTTCGTTCCCTGCTTGTCCACGCCCGCAGCCAACCCCTTCGACGTCCAAGCTACAAGGACCAGGGACAAGAGGCCAGAAAGTGACTTTCAGGGGACACGGGGCACCGGCGTGCCAGCCCCACTGAGCGGACGCAAAATGAGGGTAGAAGGACGCGCCGCTCCATCCCGGTACCGGGCGCACCGCGCTCTGCTTCCCCCTTCGCGGCGGAGCCCAGCCCGCCCGGGGCCACCGGGCCCTGGCTGAGAGCCGGCTCCCTCCCACCCATCCTTCCCAGCCCTCCCCCACCACGGGGCGGCCGGGCAGGGGAGCGCGAGGGGGAGTCGGTTACCTGGACTGGGCGTCTGGCCCGGAGGCGCAGGAAGATGCCCCGCCGCTCCTCGTCCGCCAAGCTCCCGGCTCGCGCGGCGCTCTAGGCGCTGGGGAGCTGCGCCTGCAGCCCTGGTACCCGCGGGGCCCGCCCTGGGGCCGCCCCCAGAGGCCCCGCCCACCAGCCCCGCCTCTCCCACCTGCGCTGGGGAAGGGCTGGAGACTCGTCGGGTCTCGAGGCGAGGGCGCCCTCTGGGCACTGCTGTGGGCTGGAGGGAGCTCTGCGGTCCCCGTGCCTCCTCGCTCCACTTCCTCACTGTGCTCTGATTCTTAGCCCGACGAGTGTGAGCAGGGTCTTGTTAAACATTTTATGCCCCTCTCCCTCGAAAGCAGGAAACTCGAGAAATGCTGCCTTTTCTAATTTTAAACATGAAAATATGTTCTAGAACATCAATATAATTAAATTCCAAGGTCTTGATATGTAAAGTTTAGACATGACCATGTAGGTGTTTTGTTTTGTTTTTTTTTTTCCCTAAGGAGCCTTGCTTCCTAAATTTAGCATTTAAGAACTCATCACAAAAGAAACAAAACACAAAAAACAAGAACTCATTACATTAATGTGCATTTCCACATAAAAATTAGTATCAAATTAGACTGGAACAATCCACAGTGCTGTGGAAAGTAGGAAAAAGTCTTTTCCACTTTTATAGCACAGAGCTTGTGTTTGATAGAGTTCTCTTTGTAACAAGAAGAATATTGTGTCTGTGTCTTCTTCCACTGGATTTTTAGCTCCGAGAAAGCAGAAGGTCTTGTTTCTATGTTGTTTTAAAAAATTCTAACTCAGAGGCCATTAGACTGCGATATTTTTGATACTCGTCTGATGTGAAAACAAAAATTAACGTAAGATGAGGGTGTAAGGGAAGAAAGAGTTCCCCGCTACTCTCTGAGGGTTGGATAACTAAGTCTATGAAATAAATTGGCAGCAGGTGGATTAACAAGAGAAAAAGTACACAGATTTCGTGCCGGGGGTATTGTAGGAAAGAAAAAGTAATATCCCCTCTGCCTCCCCCAGCAAAAACTGAGATTTTAGGAGGTTGTGTACCCTCTTCACTGGGGAGGAACAATTTAGGAGAGAGGAAATGATTTCGGGAAAACTCCTGAACACCGTCAATGGCTTAGCTCTGTTTAACGTCTCATGAAATTTTTCATGAGCAATTCAGGCATAATCGTTAAGAGTGAGTGAATTAGGTAATGTAAATGGAATAAAAGTTTATAAATGAACTTTTTAAAAATAATTGTTTTATAAAATTTATCTACTTAAAAATAGTTTTAAAAATCTTTTTTGGTAACTTGAAATCTCAAAAATAAATTAAGTAATAGATATTCATTAAATGTCTAAGTCCTTTATAAGTTAAAATACTGACATATTAATTGCTAAACATAAGTTTAAAGTATAGCTGGGGCCGGGCACAGTGGCTCATGCCTGTAATTCTAGCACTTTGGGAGGCTGAGGTGGGTGGATCACCTGAGGTGAGGAGTCCTAGACCAGCTTGGCCAGCATAAGGAAACTCTATCTCTATTAAAAATACAAAAATTAGCCAGCCACAGTGGCATGTGCCTGTAATCCCAGCTACTTGGGAGGCTGAGGCATGAGAATCACTTGAACCTGGGAGGTGGACGTTGCAGTGAGCTGAGATCATGCCGCTGCATTCTGGCCTGGACGACAAAGCGAGGCTTTTTAAAATTAATTAATTAAATAATTAAAAATAAAGTATAGCTGGCTGGCTGCAGTGGCTCACACCTGTAATTCCAACACTTTTAGGAAGCTGAGGTGTGAGGATCACTTGAACCTGGGAGTTTGAGATTAGCCTGGGCAGCTTGGCCAGACTTCACTTCTACAAAATAAAAATAGATAAATTAGCGAGGGGTGGTGGCCAAGCAATAGATTTATGAATTAACTTTTAGAATACATCTTGTTTGTCAGTCAGATACTGCCTGCATACCTTAAGTGTAATCCATTCATGTGTGTGACAGGGTCTCATTCTATTACTCAGGCTGGAGCACAGTGGCAGTGGCATAATCACAACTCACTGCAGCCTCAACTTCCCCCTGCTTAGGTGATTCTCCCACCTCAGCATCCCAAGTAGCTGGGACTACAGGTGTGTGCCACCATGCCCGGCTGATATTTTTGTATGTTGTGTAGAGATGGGTTTCACCATGTTGCCCAGGCTGGTTTTGAACTCCCAGGCTCAAGCGATCTACCCACCTCAGTCCCTCAAAGTGCTGGGATTACTGGTGTGAGCCACCTTGCCCAGCCACTTATTTTTAATTCCTGCAATAACATTTACCCCTAAATCTATACAAGTAGTTTAGAAGGTATTTCTGGAAGGCTTAGAGGTGTGTCAGTCAGGTACCAGGCAGAGAACAGAAATCACAGCAATTCTTTTTACAGAGAATTTAAGGGATTACTGAAACAGGTCACGAAGACTGGCAAAGCAAAACCACTGCAGTAACAGAGAGTAACTGCAGGAAGCAGCTGCCACGCACAGAGCCGGAAGAGGGGAAGTGTTGGGGTTGTCAGAACCTAAGAGCCCAGAGAGGGCCCCTGGTTGGCTGGGAGTCAGACCTCAAAGGATCGGGTAGTACCCAACTGGTGTTCCTATCTCTGAAGGTAAACATTAAGGCTGGATGAGAGAGGACGGATTTAAAACAAAACAAAACAAAGAACACTAAGAAACTGGAACCAGCTGCTCCAACAGCCAGAAAGAAGAGCCGCTGCTTGGTAGCATGGACAGGAACAGTAAGCAGCTATGAAGTAGCAAGTCCCTATTCTCAAGCACCCCTTATAGGCAAAACCTTACAGGAAATGTGATTTGCTAAGCGCCAGCCCTGGCTCGCAGAGCAGAGGATGGAAGCATGAGTTTGAACTCCAAGACATACTTTAATAACCGGCACAAAGAGCATACTCTCCTAATGTTATAGCGGTGGGAAAGTGATGAACACAGCTGTCATAGTAATGATTAATACAATAGCAATACATTCTTAAAATGTCATAATAAAACTGTAGTTACAAGTAAAATCAAATAACGGAACAGAGGCTGGGCATGGTGGCTCATGCCTGTAGTCCCAACACTTTGGGAGGCCGAGGTAGGCAGATCACTTGAGGTCAGGAGTTTGACACCAGCCTGGCCAACATGGTGAAACTCTGTCTCTACTAAAAATACAAAAATTAGCCAGGCACAGTGGCGAACACCTGTAATCCTAGCTACTGGAGAGGCTGAAGCACCAGAATCACTTGAATCTGGGAGGCGGAAGTTGCATTGAACTAAGATCACACCACTGCACTCCAGCCTGGGCAACAGAGCGAGGCTCCATCTTGAAAATCAATAAATAAATAAGGATTTTTTTAAAAAAAATAAGAGGATGATGTCGATTGACCTATACTTTGTGTTACTGGCGAACAGTGAAGATCCCTTCCCCCCTTTATTTTCTGAGAAACCACTAACTACACAGAATCACCTTTCCCCAAATGACTTAGGTAAGCATCATGGATAACATCCTTTCACCCTGTGACAAGTCCATACACATGCCCTCCACATTTCCATTCTCATCCCATAAATGGTTGGCTGAACCACCTGTCCCTACCGATCAGTCTGGGTAAATTCTTTACTTGATCAGATTTCACTCAGGCTTTTCTCCTTCCCCCAGGTCTTTGCCCTTTAATCTACTCTTAGCCTAAACCAGCACTGGAATTTGGAATAAGCCCCTTACCATCCTGTATTAGTCGGCTTTCACATTGCTATAAAGACATACACGAATCTGGGTAACTTATAAAGAAAAGAGGTTTAATTGACTCACAGTTTTGCATGGCTGGGGGGCCTCAGGAAACTTGCAATCATGGCAGAGGGGGAAGAGGCACATCGTACATGGTGGCAGGTAAGAGAGAGCAAGCAAGAGCAGGGAAAACAGCTTTATAAAACCATCAGATCTCCTGAGGACTCACTCACTACCACAAAAACAACATGGAGGAAACCGCTCCCATGATCCAATCACCTCCACCGAGCCTCTCCCTTGCCACGTGGGGATTATGGGGATTACAATTCGAGATGAGATTTGGGTGGGGTTTGAGTGGGAACACAGCCAAACCATATTACATCCCCTCCCAAGAAGTCCCTTCCCAGCTGACCACAAAGAAACTGTCCTGATCAATTGCTTCATCATGCCACCTGCTCATCCCACTCCCTGTTACTGGTTCTTTTTAACATTGTTTACTACTTTCAGTAAAAGAAAAGCCTTTTTCTGCCTGACCTTTCAAAAGCTTGCAGATTCTTAGAGTCGAAGCATTCTGTTAGAATGCCGTACCTCCCCTATTGCAACATTCTCTTCTCCTATTGCAATAATCCTTTTAAATAAAGTTTCTCCTTACCTAGGTCTGGATTTGGTTTTTATTTGACAGTTCTTGCTGCTGTGACCCAGCTCAAGATTGGAACTCACCTCGGGACCTCCACCAGCCCCACCCAGGTAAAGGTGCCATGTTGGGGACTTTGGTGAGTTCAAGTCTTGAACCAGTGCTCTGGGCATCTTGTCGGTTGAAGAACAGTAAGGAGTTACTTTGATTGTGTTGTGCAAAGAAATGCTTTGACCCTCCTGTGAGACTTGTGTTTTTTCTCAGCTCCTTGACCTGGGGATTGTTTGAGGGAATTAATCAAATGGGACTTTTTCTTGGCTCCTTTAAAGTTTTTTCTTTGGGCTGACTATCCACTAATGCCATGGATAACTTTCACTCTATCAGATGCCCTCCTATTCCCCCACTGAGTACATGCCATTATGGCACTAATTCAGTTTCATAGCTTCAAAAATGGCAACATTTACTAAAGGTAACCTAGAACCTCAAAGGCCTCTTTGGGAAACATGAGATCTCCTTAAACCAGCTCATCTGAGACTTCTCTCTTGCCATCATCCTCATTCCTCCTTTTTACCACTTTAAACCTTCTCTTGACTGGGCACGGTGGCTCACGCCTGTAATCCCAACACTTTGGGAGGCTGAGATGGGTGGATCGCCTGGTCAGGAGTTCAAGACCAGCCTGGCCAACATGGTGACACTCCATCTCTA